AGGATAGGGTGTGTGGGAGGGGAATGCTGAGCCAAACCTAACCACATGCTTTTGTTGAAAGTCCACTGACCACATGGCGATATTTGACAAGTTGGGAGTCAGAACGTGTTGGCTGTTTACAATAAGCTTATACCCCATGTGTGGCTTGTACCACTTCAGCGCCACTGGCATTGTCTGTCAGTTCAATGACACAGTGTCAAGAGTTTTAGAAAGACGTACCTGAGCCAGCCTGCCCCCTGCCCATCATATATTGTCCCATATTAAAGACTGTATATTTGAACGATTGTTTCCTGTGGTCATCCTTGATGTTACCAAACTTACTGCAAACAATGATATTAAGAATTTGCACTTTTTCTCATTTTGGGGATTTTTGAAGCAGAGATAAACTGTTGAAGGAGACTGTGGTATCGCACTGCAGAGGATGCCCTATTTTCAGAAGAAGAGCACTAATTGGACTGTAGATTTAGCATTTCTTCATGCTCATGTGATCAAACTGATTTTGTCAAGGCTTCGGCTCAGTTTTATAACCCAGACTGAGCAGATTCAACAGCATTTATCAGTTAAAGGTCCCCTGACAAGAAATATGAATGTCAGACTGGTTTTATTTTCACCGGGTGGAGCTGTGCTCGCATTCCTTGTTTCACTTATTTTATTCTATTGTTTGTCTTTAAGCTGTTTTGGTTTAAGACTTAAATTTTAGTTAAATTGTGATTTTGCCTCCCAAGGTCTCGCAACACAGTGAAAGTCCCCTTTATCTCAAAAATGCCTCCGCCACAGGTGTATGAATGTGTGTGTGTGTGAATAGGTGGAACTGGCTTGTATTGTAAAGTGCTTTGAGTGGTTGCTGAGACTAGAAAAATGCTATACGAATTAAGTTAATTTACCATTCCATTTGGGTACTGAAGTGATTTTGTGCCAAGTCCAGAAGCCACTTATAGTTCAACAGCCTATGCACCTTACACAGGTGTGATGTGTAAACCTCAAGTCTCCAGTGTGCACTGACAGAAAATTGATTTTCAGTGACGTCTTATGTTCAGTTAGAGTTTGAAATGAAAAAATAGCATATTTATGGATTCTAGATTTAAATGAGGGGAAAGGAATTGATTTTGACATTTTTTTATAATTCAAATTTACTGATTTTGTTTAGGGTGGTACATTGGTCATGTGATTGTGGCCTTTCAAAATATTTGGGACACATACTAATTTGTGTGCATTGTCTTTGATAGGAAAACATGAAAAATTTGTGAGACAGCCTGAACAATGAGATTTTACATAAACAGCACAAACTGGACAACTTACTAGAATCCTATTGTTCTTTCTGGAAATCATCTTTGGGTTTCAGTTTTTTAAATCGCTTTTTTGGCTCACATGACTGATGGCCCATGCTCTGCCAGAAGTCGGTTTGATTATATTCAGGCTCGATTACCTATCCTGTCCCGGGCAGCCAGTAGGGATGTACCCCGATATGAGAACCTTACAAGGGAAATCACAAATAATGTGATGGAAACAGATATTTATTCAGCCTGAAGTTGCTCATATCACTGTGGATGCCCATGCTGTTTGCAACATAACACTCTGATTTCACTGACTAGTTGTTTCATTTACTACACATTATGGAAAAGTGAGGCTATATTCTGTGGTCGCCCCCACTGACTCAGTGCACAGCAGGCAGTGGGGCTGAGAGCTGACCGTTCCCGGCTTTGAGGAGGAGGCATCATGTACAAGAGCAGGGAGAAAAAAGCCTTGTGTGGCAGCTAGATTTCTTTCAAGCCTCCGCAACCTATATATCAAAAACAAAGCTTAAAACCTGTTGTAGATAGCTGTGTGTATTAATTTCTGCTATTTAAAAACATGGTCAAAGTATTGTAAAAACAACAACAAAAAATGTGTTGCCTTTTATTTCAGTCAATATTCATCTGTTTAAGATGTCATGTGCTGTACATCAGTATTTACTGACTTAGAGTTTACTCAAAACTTATCAAGCGTTTCATGGTTATTTCAATAAATGGAAATAAAAAGAGGTGGTGAATAAATGTGGCATTGAGAAATAAAAGTCTCCTTAAATAACTAAACGTAGAAGTATTAAATAAAAGCTCCCTGAGATATACAAAAGTAGTTAAATAACAATATATATTCATTCATTCATCTTCTAACCGCTTCATCCTCTTGAGGGTCACGGGGGGGCTGGAGCCTATCCCAGCTGACATCGGGCAAGAGGCGGGGTACATCCTGGACAGGTCGCCAGACTATCGCAGGGCTGACACATAGAGACAAACAACCATTCACGCTCACATTCACACCTACGGACAATTTAGAGTTATCAATTAACCTAGTCCCCAATCTGCATGTCTTTGGACTGTGGGAGGAAGCTGGAGTGCCCGGAGAGAACCCACGCTGACACGGGGAGAACATGCAAACTCCGCACAGAAGGGCTCCCTCTTGCTGTGAGGTGACAGTGCTAACCACCACACCACCGTACCGCTCAACAAAAATATATATCTATATTTATAATTTATTTATTGAAATATATTGACTCATGATATATTTATATTAGTTGTATTTATATATTATTAACTTAGGTTTAAAATACAACATTTGCCCAGTTTAATGTAACTTCCAGTATAAACTCTGCCCACTTCCGGTCATCTATCCTAATATAGTGCTCCAGGGATGACAGTTTTCTGTAGGCCGACATTGAAGTTAGCGTCATCCTGGTTCACATGTCTACATGCCGATAGGATTTATGATACTTACATGTTTTGTTTAGCAAAATAATCTTCATAAATGAACACTGCTTTTATGGTTTTTGAAGCCTAAATTTAATCCACACTAGTGACTGATTTTTTTTTATTTTATAATTGTGTCATGCACACTTACATGTGCCCAACCCTCATGGGTTTACAAGACACCATTTCACTGTGTTGCAGTAACAATCAAAAGTAAATGTTATTTAAATGCTCAATTACCCTATTTGAGGTCTTTCACTGCATATAGACCATTTACAAGTAAAATGCTAATGTTATGCTATAAATGAACGACACCATGGTTGCATGACTCAACACCCCACCAATAATGCTGTAAAGCTGTGTTCGGCAGGATGATGTTTTGTAGTTGTGATGTTTAGCTCGAAATCCACAAAACCAGCCTGAAAATGAAGAAAATCTACAACGATTACATGAGTCAATGGAGCACAGCTGTATAAACAGGCTTGTTCGAGATGAGCCAGGCCTGCGCAGGTTCAATCACTGGTGATTGCCCCACAATGCATGCCGGTTAGATTTATGTCCTCTGACGTCATACAAAAGTGGACAGTGATAATCTCGAGAGAGCGAGGCGGCCGCAGTTTATAGGGCCAGACACTGCAGTTGCTCCACCGACTTTAAGACCCAGGGCATGATGGGAAACACCTGACTCTCACCTGATCTAACAGCTGATTGGTTTAGATGTTGATTCAACAATATGACGTTTTAGATCAACTTTTCATTTTTGTGAATTTCAGAGATTTAGATTTTATTTGTCTGATTTTAAAGTTTATTGTGTGAACAGAAAACATGTTACTGATGGTGACTTTTAGCCGTCACAGACTAAATACATTCATCATTAACTATACACAGTTTATTGTATATTAACATTGGACTGTTTTAATTATCAAGTACTGAGCAAAACACAGAGACTTGTGGTCAGTGGGAAGTGAGGATTCTTAAAATAACATCTGTACAGAGGTTTTTTTTCTTTATTTAGCCTGTGTAGTTGAGACGACAGGTCTGCTCTGCAGCAGCAAACTGATATGATGCTGATTTACAGGAGAGTTCATGTCAAACGGAGGTTGAGCCATGAACATAAATTACAGAAAGCCTGTAAAGCATTTTAATAACTCAATGTATCATAATTAAAACAACTGATGACTGAAAACTAACTGATATATGGGTCTGATAATAGTTTTTAATATTGGACAGGATGTGAGTGTTTCTGTGACTTCCTGTACAGACTGAAGGCTGCTGGAAACTGTCAGAAAACTGTCTGACTTCACCGCAGCTTTTTGTCCCCGCTTCCTACTGCAGCCACCTGATCTCGTCCACTTTCCAGATGAGACACAGTTCATCTTGAGAAGCCGTTTACACGTACACGGTGATTTTGATAAACGGAGACATCTTCCTTCGTTTGTGCCCTTTGTTTACACGCAAACAGAGATTTCTCCTCTGGAAACGAGTCTTTCTAAAAACTCCGGCCAGAGTGGAGATTTTGGAAAACTCCGGTTGCGCGTTTGCATGTAAACTGAGATAAACGGAGATAAACGGAGTTATAGGCAGCCGACGTCACAGTATGCACCAGAACTTGCGCCTGTGTCAAAAGTGCGACCTATGTTGCTATGGTGACAATGGATACATGGAAGGCTTGAGCTTCTCGTTACACTGCCACCTACAGGTTTGGCATGCTCTTGTGTATATATACATGGGTAAGTATAAACGAAGATCTTTTTGAAAACAGAGACGGTGAAATGTCCGTTTATGAAAATAGCCGGCAACGTGTAAACGGCCTCTGAACGAGCCTGGTATCAGACCATGGCTGAAGCTGGCTGATGCTACACTATGATTGGCCGGTCTGCAATAGGTCCTATACCCCACCCCGTCAGAAACCACCTTTGAACTGTATATTTCCTCACTTAGCTGCTACCTTCAGTTTTTTTTTTTTTGATCATCACAAATATGTTGCAGACTTGTTTACCCCTGCTATGAAGTGCTTAATAGAATCTAAATTTGGACCTCATTACAATCCCAACACCCGCAGGCTACCTCCAATGTCAATGATCAATCAAATTTACGACTAGCTTCTGATGACAGAGCAAATTATGTTGAGGAGAGGATGTCACTTTTCCCAGCAGTTTAATCTAAACAATAGCTCCACACCTAGCAGCTCTGATAAGGACTTAATGAGGTGCAGATGGTGAGGCGGGCAGCAGGGAGGGCTGATGAGTGAATGAGCCACAGGTGTGCAGGGCAGGGGAACACACCGAGGGCACCTGGTGAGGAATGGCTCGTACTACTGAAGAACAACACACAGACGTGACTGAATTTTTCACACGACGTATCATATGTTGGACATTTAACTTGAAGTTTACTTAAAGTAAGTGAAAATAAAGATATTTTAAGTGGGGTGCTAATGCTACCTAGAAGTTTAAAACTGATTTAGAACTTGTTGTGCCTTCCCCAGCATCACGAGAACCAAATGGCCGACTGCAGACAGCGGACAGCACAGCAGAACAGCGGCCCAGGTTGGCAATTATATATTCGTACTTATTAAGAGCTAAATAGAAAAAGTTATTTTACTACACATCTGCTTGTAGGTTAAGTTAATTGTATGCAGCCCATAAAGCAACCAAGTGAATGTTTGGACTTTTCTTTCTACACCTCTCACTGCTGGGACAACATAATTATTCCACCTCGCCATACTGGAAGCGTTACCTTCGTAGAGTGTCTGCACTATCGGCTTAATAAGTTCTAAAGTTCAGCTGAAGTGCATATGAGGCTCAATCAGTCTGAGTTAGTCAAATCAGTTGGCCCCTTCAAATACCAAGAGGAGTGTAGGCCAGTGAATTTTTGAAGTACTGTTATCTGCTAACACTGGTGGTACTCGTCTCTGGTTGACTGCTCACTGTAAAACCACCTGCCCAGCACCAAACAGCAGACAGACAAATTTAGCAACTAGAGAACATAGTTGAGTTGGCGGATATTAAATCAGACCTGAAAGGATCGAGAATATGAACTCAGCATTCATCTGGTGGACACAAACACAACCTCAAATGAATGTTAATATTGCCCACTATTGGCTAGATGTGTAAGTAAGTTTGCCATAATAACTTCATAAGGCAGGGGTGCAAGGTTGTTATGACAGGCCCCAGTGCATGCTAGTTAGCAGTGGCCTGGGGCGACGGAACCTTCTCCATAGCCGCCGTCTACCTCTGGAACTCCCAAGTCCCACCCCAGACACATTAGACACACTGACCTCTCCTGATTCAAATCACTCATTAAAACCCATCATGTCATCTTTTTGTGATCATTTTTAACCAGTGTAAAGTGTCTTTGAGTACCATGAAAAGGGCTCGATAAATAAAATGTATTATTATTATTATGCTCACTTGGCTTGCAGATGTTCTCAGTTTGTCACTCGTGACTAATAACAGTATATGAAGAAGGACAATGCGTCTCCACTTCCTTCCATTGTACAAAAATGAAGCCAAAAATCCCAGATACAGCTGCTGCCATCTTGCATGGTGACGGCATTTGGAGCCAGAGTGTGCACAGTGGCCATATTTGAAGTATTGAGTTCCTGCCATCAGACCCAATCCCGAGCAGCATCATTGGCACACACAGCTGTCAATCACAATGTCAACCCCCCTTTCAAAGCATCAAATAACTAATTAAACGGACCTTTTCAAAAAAATTAACACTTGAGCAAACATCAGGGTGATAAGAACTACCTTAAATGACAAAAAAAACATCTTTTGGGAAAAAAACATTTATTTGATGTGTACTTTGATTTCTTTTTTTTTTTTAGTGTGGCCCATGTCCCATCCACTTACATTGAAGGGGTGGGGAATATGACCCATCCTGCAGCCAGCCACCAGGGGGCGATCAAGATATTTTGGCTTCACTTTTGGGGAGCTTTCATGTCCTCTATCTTTTATTACATATGGTCATGACAGATACTTATCTTATATACTTATCAGCCAGCAATCATTACTGCATATCTGTATATGACAAGATACAGAAGAAAATATAAAAGATTTAATAGAGAAGTTGTATATTTGTCGTTTTTAAAGTTTATTTGGAATAGGCATATAATTTCGTTATTGGCTAGAGAAAGGAATGAATTGATTAAATAATTAATCTTTAATTTTGTGCCATGCAAGCAGTTATGCCCAGCCCCCATGAGCTTATAAGACGCCATAAATTCAACATAAGCTGGGATCAGATTCCAGCAAACATAAATTCAGAAGGATTAAAAGGAGAGAAAATGAAACACAGCAACAAAAGCATCATATATAATCAGATCATCATTTTGGAAGACCAATTTGTGGATCACTCACAAAGGTATTTATAATGTAAAACTGAAAGAAAGATCAAAAGAAACACTAGTTAAACAGACACTCTTGCTTCCTCTGCCAGGCTTTAGTGACAAAATTGGCAAACTTAAACACATTAAAATTAACCAGCCATTTTAGCTTTCGGTCATCTGAGCACCCAAAAGTGTCAGGATTTAGACGAGCCATTTCACTGAATATAAGCTCTCTTAAGTCATCATAATTTGTGCAGTATAAGAGAAATAGAAATAGGTTTGCATTTCCAAGGTTACATGTATTGGCACTGATTTCTATCTTAAAGTATACTATGCACGATTGTTTATTACTGTTTGTAAATGCTTGCCAGCAAAACTGAAGTAAAAGCCAACCTCCAAATGGCTGCTGATTACAGTCTGGCACCTGACTGCTACCTTTTTAAAATTCCTGACCTCACCTAGGCACTGTGGGGGTACACGCCCATAAAAGTCCCGAGCACAGAAAATAAAGGCGGAGGTCACAGTCTCTGCACCACACACTTCAACTGGCCCAAGATTAAAATTTAGAGGGATTACTTCTGTATGTGTCTATACATTGCTTTTGTGGGAAAATCCTGCACAGTATATCTTTAATATGAGTTATTTTTGACGCATTGTTGGAGGGCCACCACTCATGGGGCCCCTGTGCAACTGCAGTGGTTGCACTGTCTATATTTACGCCCCTGTCACAAGGTGATAACATTTTAATTTGTGTTCCCAATTTGTTCTGCTTCTTTAAAGGTTCAGTGTGTAAGATTTGTTGGCATCTAGTGGTGAGGTTGCAACATTGCAACCAACTGAAACTTCTTCCATGTGCCAAGCGGGTAGGGCAGGGGTAGGCAACCTGTGGCTCCAGAGCCACATGTGGCTCTTTAGCCCCTCTACAGTGGCTCACTGTGGCTTTGACAAAAAAATACATATATATGGAAATGACAGTTATTTTTCTTGACATTTTCATTTGTCAGTGTCGTGGGCCTAAAGAAGTTCCAGCATTCTCCAACTGTAAAAATGTAAAGATAGGCTTTACATACCAAATGAAAAAATGTTTTAAGATTTAAACAACTAAAATGTACGTAATTCATCTACTGCCTGAGACTTTTTCCTCAAAATTTTGCCAAACCTTAACATCAGGGTCCAGTCTTGAGTCTTCCCAGCTGGTTAGCTATGAATGCCAAATCCAAAAAGTAAAAGTCTTGGAATAACAGATTTGTTTGCTTTCACTGCCAGCTCTGCAATGTTAAAGTACCAAATAATCATAAACAGGGCCCTGCAAAGTAGCCACCTTGTATTAAAACATATAAATGACTGCTCATTTAGACCATTAGTGTAGGGTGATTTAGATTCAATAGGCTGTTCCCTTCATTATAAGGCTCAAATTTTGTTTTGCGGCTCCACACAGAGGCGGTGCCCACTTGAAAATGCGAGGCAGGGCACAGCCTAATGTGGGGTAAATTGTAACATAGACTTTTTAAGTGGTTACAAAGGGTCAATTCTTCCGTGCTTCTGACCACTTGACCACAATAGTGCCAAACAGTGACCTGCTAAATTCCGCAGAGATCGGACATGTTTCAGCTGAGTTCAGTGACAAAGAGTGTTTTCAGCCGATTTAAATACATTCCTTTTGTCATGCCTGTTTTTTCGATTACTGAGCTGTCTGTGTGAGTCACAGAATCCAACCATATATCATCATAATAACTGTCTTGTTACCTAAATCACTTTGAACTATGCAACTCCCAGCAAGTGTTAGCTAGGCTTGATAAAATGTCCACACAGCAGGGTTAACAGTAATGCGGTGTTACAACTAAACCACCTATAGCGCATGTTCTCTATTTTCGCACTTCAAACTTCCGTTCAGTTTGAACTCATGTCCTTAATTAAATGAAGTATACTTTGTATTTTTAATTTGTCAGGTATCATACTGACACAGTTTGACAGTCTTGTCAACAGTCATACATTCAATACTCATATTTTGGCATGTGGATCCAGGTTACCCAATCTGTGTACAGCTATTGGTCCAGCCACTGAATATGGATGATGGACTTACAGATGGATGGATACCTGTACAGATACCTATCCTTCTCCTGATGTAGATGGAGACCTATAGTATCTAGATAGAATTGTATTGAATTAATTGTGTTAGACACTTTTCCAGCAAGTGTTACAACTGACACTGCCTGTTACAATTAACCCCATCCATGGAGTACATTTAAACATTTCACTTCCGCCACTTCTCGGATGAAGACTTTCATTAAATCATTTGGAAATAAAAGACCTATGAACCCAGGTTTATTTAACCCAAAATCATTTTTCTGGAGCTGCTTTCAGATGCCTTTTTAAAAAAAAAAAAATAAAAAAAATAAAAAAAAAAAATTAAACTTTTTTTTTAAAATCTAAATTCTTTTTTAATTTAAACCTTTGAAGCCAGAGCAAATTGGTGTGATTTCTTTTAAAAAATATGGGGGAAAAAATCAATGAGCAACTTGGTAAGAAATGTTCCAAACAAATAAATAAACAATAAAAAACATAAATGAATAAACTTATAAAGAATAAAAGCAGGGGGAAACTGCATTATTATTATTATTATTATTATTATTATTA